AAACGTCCCCTCTAAAGGTTTGTTTAAATTTGAACCTTCACAGATAATAAAACCTTTTTGTTCCTGGTAGAGATTTGTTTCAGACAGAGAACTTGCAGATCTGTATTTATTCACTGCAGTTTTCACATTAATCACATCAGATTTGCTGAGTCAGATGAAGACGGTGGAAAAAAAAAAAGCATATGCTAATCTGTTTACAAACAGGACCTTCTGCTTCATACTGTCAATTGCAATTGAAAAAGTGAAGTATAAGTTGCTGAACACAGTAACCTCTTTCCTCTTCCTTGGTGTATTTTAAGAATTACCTCAGGTATTTCTGGAGTTCAATCTGGGTAAAAAACTAAAAATAATTAAGCACAAGCTTATCACGAATACATGTGCACTCCACTTTCCTCCTGTAAAGCATATTTCCTTTTTTTTTTTTTTTTTTTATAATTTATTCATTTAATGCTGTCACACTTAATATGAACAGAGAGCATGCCTTAAAATTCACTTTCCCTGCCCTCTATTTGTGTCCCCATTGATATGCAAAGACCTTTACTGGTGAGTGTATGAATAGTACATTGCAGCTTGAGCATAATAATGTAGGGGCATCACAATGGGCGGACCGAGCAATGTTTGTGAGACGCAGGGGACCAGAAATTTTAAAAAGCCCTGATAAGTTAGTGCTTTCTTCTCGATCTCTATAAATATACTTGCAGTATACCCGTCGCATGTGTAATCACTCTTTAATACACACAATTTATCATTTTTGGCAAGAAGAAGAAAAAAGCTGATGCACCAAAGTCTTCAGAACTTCCTGGTGTACCTTCACGGCTCCTTATTGTTCCGTTGCCACCGAAACGGTTGAAGAAAACTCGACAAGCTAATAAGAGACATCTGAATCTAGACGTGTTTGTCACATGCCATCGTTATGTGGCTTCAGGTGTTTAGTATTCAACGGAAATGTGTGAAGAACTAACAGGAATGTGAGAGGAAATGACAACCACAGGCAAATCTTTAAAAAAAAAATACAGGAAATATTCTGCAGTACACAACTTTGTATCGACATGCAGCATGCTGCTGTCACAATCTCTCATGCTAAGCATCTAGTTACTGTCAACTCTACCACTGGCGAGATGACGCACTTTTGGTGCTATTGAATGCTTAAAATGCAAATGATAACCCCCCCCCTTCACTTTGTATCTTTACTAGATCAAAGAAAAAATCTCCAGTATAGAGCGACTTCAACTGTACTCCTCTCAGAAGTAGCTGAAAATACGTGAAGTTTAAAGAAACCATAGTAGGTTTTATGCACCTTGTCAACTAATAATTGGTTTGGACACGTTTCAGAAAACACTAGGCTACACTTTTAATGTCTTTTGAAATACTAAACATGATATAAAATCTTACAATTCTTGGTAGTCTGTCTAGTTGATAGCTTATATATATATATATATTTACACATCTCGCTCTTTTATTCCCGTCTCATCTTCTGAGTTATTCTTGAAACAGATTCCTCCCCAGACCATAAGCATTTAGGAAAATGTGATGGAACTTTAAAATGGGCGTGAAGTGCCAAAATTAATTAAAGAGAAATAGGACGCAATTATTTTTACGAGCTTTGCTGATGTCTATATGAATTTCTAGCTCTCCTCATCAAAGAAGTCTTAAAGCTATAAGGAATTTAGCCGATACTGACTCTATCAGCCGGTGGGCCATTACGGTATATCAGATGGCTAACCAGTCCCAATGAGGAACAAACCTCATCCAAGTACTGCCAATTCATTCTTGATCCTTTCAAAGAAAAGATAAGGCCTGTGATTGTCAGACGTGTGATAAACTGTGAAACCGCCCTTTAACCTGTTTGATAAAGCAGTTTCCAGTGTTCATGTTCTTGGGATTTTTGTCCCTGAGAACATTTCACTGCTCTTTCTGACGGACGGACACTGAAACAGATAATTAAAGTTGCCGTCAGTTCGGGGCTAAACACGACAAGACAGCGCAGCTATACTCATTAATCTTTTAAGACCCTACCAGTGTCGTCGCCGTGAAAAACACCAAGTTGGCTTCAGCTTCTCAAGAGCTGAAGGGATGTTTGTAAGACATAAGACTGACACCAAGGACTGGATCGTTTTCTGTTTCTTTTTTTTTAATCTAATGACTCGTTTTTAGTCCTTCTACTTATTTCACCACCTTGAATTTTTACTCTTTCTTCTACTACTTCAGAGTGTCTCCCTGTTACACCCTGTATTTGTACAGGCTTCTATTAGTAGTGAGGTCCTGTAACCTATAGTACGAAGTAACTTGTACCGTCTACGCTTAATGATATAGAATAAAATCAAGAACTTGTTGAGCTTGTTGGGCAAAATGTGTCAACACAACAGGCTTTGTTCTTTTACGCTGTTCTGCGGATGAACAGTCTTTCCTGATTAGATTTATTCTTTAGCCTTTAAGAATCAACCTTTCTGTGGGATGCTGTAGCTGTTGTCTTTCTTTGTTTCGTCCTGGCAGCCGCCAACACTCCTTTGTGGTTTGGACCACCCACTCTCTGCTCGCTTCCTGTCCAACTTACCACCTGGCGGGGTAAATGTACCAGTACATTTGATGTGCTGTCTGTCCGTGCCCACCCTTTACACACCATGCTAGTTTATTGGTGTTCAGTGTTGGTGGTTTTTAAAACTCCTACGTGGTGTGGTCCGTGGCCGTCTCTCTGTCAGCTGTACCTGTACCTGAGTGCTGATGCCGTCCACTCATTTTCATTGTTAAAAATAAAATGTATTTTATGGAAATACAATTCATTCCAACAATAACAAGTGTCTTTTGTATTATAAATGTACCACGTTTCTTGACCCCTAGTGGTAGCAAAACCTCCATGCTTTTGTGCTTGTTTTTATTCTTGTACTGTAGTCGTATTGTTTCCTAGTTAAGTTAAAGCATGTATTCAATTTTAGCCTTTTTTGCCAAAAGACTGCTTTGTCAGACATACTTTTCCTTTTCCTTTAGTTGTAATGCCTTTTACTGCTGACATTGTTTTGGTGCAGATTGATTTTGGGCAGTGATTCGTACATGACTCCAAGACTGTGGTGCTGTGCCATAGTTTCAATTTAGACTGAGATGGTTAACTTTTGTAAAACTAACCACACCTATCACAGTCAAATGGGTTTTTTTTTATCCATCTTCGACTGCTTAATCCCATTGAAAGATGTTCACAGGGGGCGCCAAAGCCAATTTCAACCTTTCACACCTCAAGATAGGAGGTGAAAAATCAACCCCTTCAATCCAAACTTGAATTTATAAAGAATACCCAGTCTTGCGTCTAGTCCTCTGTTGGACTGGAAAACTGTCCAGTCTGTAACCCCGCCGTCTCCCAGTGCCTGCTGGGATTGGCTCCAGCCCCTACGACCTTGAAAAGGATTAAGTGCTGGATAAATGAATGAAATCAGGCGTTCATATTTGAGTCCATATTTTTGGATGGCACATCCACCAGAGCGTAGACACTGCATCTAAGATAAATGTACATGTATATATATTTTATAAATATTTTTTAATTTTTTTCCAATAGAGCAGTTTAATTTTGCCAAAAAGTTTTTTTAAAAATTAAAAAGTTTTTTAAATATTTTAATATAATAATTTTCTTTTCAAAAAAAAATTAAAAAAATTAAAAAAAAGGTTTTTTAATATTTTAATATAATTTTAATTTTTTTTTCTTTTCAAAAGAGCAGATTATTCAAGATAGTCCAGATTACCATCACGCTTCAAATGTATTCAATTCCTCCATCTATCTATTGCTAACTACTGTTGGGGTTGTTGTTGTTTTGTTTTTTTTCATTAATATAAGTATGTTTGTCATTCTTCTAGTCATTGTTGTTCGTGTCATCCAAGATAAAATATTGCAGTCTAAAAACAAATGAGATATAATTACCTAACGATTTAAAACATCAATAACCCCCAGCCATTTTCTTTAGAAGCAGTAGTTTATCACTGGTAACAGATGACAAATGCTTGACTGGTTAATGATTATAAGAGTGTGTAGTTTGTTTGTTTGTTTTTTCTCCAACAGAAAAAGTCTAATACCTGAGTGACAAAGTACATAGGCTTCAGGCCACACCAGTCATCTTTTTATGAAATCTTGCTTTGTTTGTCATTGTCGAGTTCATTATCAGTCAACACATTTTGAAAGACTAGGATTTTTATAGCTTTATACAGTATTATTTGGACAATATTTTTTTACATTTCTGACTGTATTTTGTTGTAACCCCATTTGTTATCACCCTAACCCTAACAAACACGATGTCTGTAGCCACAATTAAGTAATGACTGTGTTTATTACGAGATGATTTGTTGTGTAAAACCATCAGAGACCGTGTTGATTCCTGGTCACATAATTATCACATTCTGTTGGCCTTTTCCAGGTTCTGTCAGAAAATGCAGCTGCTGTATATTTATTTGTAATGATCAAACATAATTTGATGTAATTTGTTGTAACTGGATGTTTTGTACTGTTTTTATTACATAGAAGCAGCTCCTAGAGGACATTTTAAAGCACAACAGTGTCGACCGTTTTTGTTAAAGCAATTCGGGGAAGGCAGAGCAAATGGTATTTACGACTGATCACATTATGGCAAGAAGAAGAAGAAGGAATATAATGATGCTTAAAAGCTGCAGAGATGGTGTCACATATTGCAGCAGAAATACTTGGGTCAATAACTTGTCTTCCTTCTGTACGTGTACAATAGAAGGAGGACAGCGGTGTAAATAATTGGCCCAGTCCGGCTTTAACTCCGGCTTGACTTAACTGTGCAGTGAAACAAACTGACAGTTTTCCCCAATTGGCTCACTTTAAACTTTTAGGTGACAATTTTTCTAACAATTAGGATCCCACTCCCCAATATGTACTTAAGTGGTGTCACTTTGAAAACTCTCTTGTCCTATTCTTTTTTTTTTTTTAACCAAGGCTAAAAATGGAAGCTAGTGCTTGTTTTTACTTACCTTTCATTTCTTTTTTCAATTTTTGATAGATCCCTTGTGGAGGACGACGACGCTCACATGAAAGTTGCTCTGGGCTACGGTGATATGGGCATTTCTGCTCACCTTCAGGCATCCAAGACTGGAAACACTCGCTTTTTCACAAGCAACACGCACAGTTCAGTTGTTCTTCAGGTGAGTGCATCGGTTTATGTTAATCATCTTTGAATACAGCAGATTTTTTTGTAGCTGCAGAGAAGATGATTTTTAAGTTCCACTTTTAAAATAATGCAAATAAAAATAATTTGTTTTTGTTTGATTTTTTTTTTTAGTTTTTTTTAAATCAAACAAAAGAGTTAGCCAGAGTTAAATGTTTCAATGTTTAACTCTACAGTAATTGAAGGCCTCTAGACCTTGGCTGCTAAAATTTATTATTAAAAAGCAAAATAAAATAAAACAAATTCAGCCTTGATGGTGCATTTGGCCGCGTGTCAGTCTGATAATCTGAAGGTCGTGAGTTCAATCCCCACACAGGGCGTCTCTATTTTTGTTCTGTTAGCACAATTGTCTTTTAACAAACAAGATATTGCTGGTCGATCCCACCCAGCAACGGCGTTCAGGCTGCTGTAGTGCCTTAAATGACACTATTTAGTCCCTCCTTAGTTAGCAAGCCTGCCTTGTGAGCAGAGAGTCCTGGGTTCGATTCCCAGAGGAACCACAGTGTGGGATCATTGCTGTTCATTCATTAAAAAATATAAATGAAAAATAAATGGGTGTGTTAAATACAGACGCTGTTTGTTTGTTTTGTTTGTTTTTTCCATAATACATATTATATTTATAGTACATAGAACAATTGTCCTGCGAGGTGAAGTCACACTTAACACCATACTGTGTTTTTTGAGTCATGCTTAGGAAAACAACAATAAAATAGTGCCACCGTAGCGCAGAAGTGAATGATCTGTCAAAATGACACCAGTACAGAGCAGCACGCTGCTTCAGCAAGTCACCACTTTGCATATAGTTACAATGGCGCTGAAGTTGTAGTGATTGCTGGCCTTGCACTGCATGTTGCTGCCACAGCAGCGTCTGCCCTTCATCACCAGCTTTCATTAGAAATGATTGGCTGTTGGCCGCGTTAGCGGCTCATTAATCATGGTGTCAGTGCACCGTAATGGAATGATAATGATTTTTCCAGGGCATCCTGAAATGATTCTAATTCTCTGATAGTACGATCCGTCTTGGTTAGTTGGAGCGCTTCAAAGCAACTCAGCCATTCGCTCAACATTGACTATTACAAGAGTCTTGCATCTGTCTGTCACATCCAGCGTGTCAATAGCTGTAAGCATGTGATTAATAGTGTGTTGCGGTGGGGGGAAGAAAAAAAAACCAGATCAAATGTACAGCAGCCAAAGGTTAAAAATAAATCCTATTTTTCAAAAATACCTGCGTAATCTGTATTTGTAGACATATTTGTGGGTTTAGCCCAAGGCGCCAAAAACGCTGGGATCACAGTTGATGGAAAGGTAATGTTAGACTCTCCTAAACCGCTACATAGACTGCACCTTATGCTGTACATTTATTTATTCCACTTCTAGGGATTTGACCAGCTAAGGATAGAAGGTTTACTATGTGATGTCACCCTTGTGGCCGGGGACGGAGATGAAGCTTTCCCTGTGCACCGGGCCATGATGGCTTCGTCCTCTGATTATTTCAAAGCCATGTTCACAGGTGGGTCTACAAAGTACCTGGCTCTGGAGCCTGCTGGGTTTGCCATAATAATGAATTTCTATCAGCAAGAAGGTCACGGGTTCGCCTGCTGGTTGGGACAGATGGCCTTTCAGTGTGGAGCGTGAATATGTGGCCATAGGTGTGTCGTGGAGTGTGAATGCTTGTTTGTCCCCGTGTGTGGTTGAGTAACAGACTGGAAACGTGCCAAGAGTGGAAGGGTGACTCTTAAATGTGTAAGGCAGTATTTGTGTATAAGGTATGTAGATAACTTATAATATAGTAAAATTAAAATGTGAAAATGTGTTGTTTTTACATTTTTAAAAAAATTGCTCAGTGACGTGCTTTGGTGAAATGAAAACATCCCATTCTGCCCGTGTGTTGAAATGCAGTAACATTTCAATCTGATTAATTAACAGAAATTAAATATTGCTTTAATAATGACAGCAGAAATAAATACATATATTCATTTATTTGTAACGTTTATGCTTAACATATAGGATTTTGTAACATACTGTAAATGGCTTCATTTGGTACAGTACCATATACTGTACAGTACAGTAAGAGATTATTTTTTATTTCTCAAAGATTAAAAGACCGCTTTGCCTTTGATTTTTATAGTGATGACATTTTTCCTGCCAGATAAGAGCTGGTTACAGGAGTGAAAGGAGGGATTTCTTATTAGCAATGAGGAAGCTCTGTGTTTACACTGTAGATGCTGAGTAATGGTTCCTGAGACCTTCTGAACAAGTCCTTTGGTCAGTGAAAATATTACACTGACATTTATTTATGAAAGCAAATGCAGACGGAGGCATTTTTATTGCCTCTCTTTAGCTGTGTTGGCGTTATTCTTTTCCATTTTGGAGGGGAAATGAAATGTTGGTCATCGTTAACTCCTGCCAGGAGTTTCACCAAGTTTATTTAACTTTCACAATCTGCCCAACGCAGGTGGAATGAAAGAACAAGACTTAATGTGCATCAAGCTACACGGAGTAAACAGAATAGGCCTGAAGAAGATCATTGACTTCATCTACACGGCAAAGTTGTCGCTCAACATGGAGAACCTGCAAGACACACTGGAGGCTGCCAGCTTTTTACAAATTCTCCCTGTGCTGGATTTCTGCAAGGTCTTTCTCATATCTGGGGTAAGGCAGCTATCGCACGCAAAGCACAGCATCAATCGAAAGAAGACAGATTTTCACCTTGTCCTTATCAGTGGCAAATCATCTGTCCTTCCCGGAGTTATCTCATTACAGAAAGACGCCCCGCCGTAATTGTGGATTTGCAGGATTTCAAACTAGTGTTCCAGTGAAGCCCACAATCTCATTAGTGCATTTTTTAATTTAAGCTGTCGTGTATGTGACCGAAATCTTCTGAGTGGAGATTTCTGTAGGCGTTATACGTCTGTGTGAACGCGTTTATTAAGTTTAGGTTTGCCGTATCACGGGGACCAGGGGTGAATAGTGAAAGTTAACTAGTGTAGAGGCACATGATTCACACAGCTGTTCTTTAACGGGCTGTACTCGGATGCCACTTGACAAATGTTAAAGTTAAATTTAGCTAACCACATTGCTAGCATACATGTGTAAAGATTCTTGAGGTTATGTCACCCTTCACTTTTTATTGTAACCCCCCCCCACACTGAAACTGAGCTGCTTGAAGCATTAGAAAAAACATTAACCCCTAAAAGTACCTTTATGTTTCACCACATTTATTTAGATTTTTACATTTATATCCATTAGTTGTTAAGTTTTTGTTTCTATCTTCAGTCCAATTTTGATACCATACATTTTGCACTTTTTCTGACCTTCGTAGGATAGTCCGTTTCCCTTTGTATATTTTTCCTTTTTTCAAACACGACCCTGACCGGGGCTAACTTGACATCTTACCCTCCCCTTTTCGAGTATAAACTGCTTTATCTAATGACTCTGACGGCCATAAAGCTCTGACTGTCTTCTCTGTTCTGGTACTGCTGCTGATCTGGACGAAGACCTTGGTTGCCATGGTAACATCCAGTGATTAGTGGACCAGCTAGGTCTCTTATCAAGTGCCTCCCTCAGCTATTTGGACTCCAACGTCTCTGTTTAAACTACAGCCAGACACCAAGTTGAGGTTTATAATGAGTGACCTATAAGTGACCCCTGGAAATGGATAAATTCCCTCTCATGAGTGCAGCTGCAGAGTGAGTTGGCGCAAACTGACTGACTAAACATGAAGTCGCTCAGTCTGCAGATCGACTCTTCTAAGGCTCGAGTTACCAAGGAGTGAATGGAAAAACTTCATGCTTTATTGTTGTTATTAAAATGGGTGTTTTTTTTCTGTAAAGTTCTAAAGCTTTTAACTTACAAATGCCGTCTGAACTCAGACATCTTGTTTAAGTAGTAATTTTTACTTTTTAGATGGAAAGAAAGAGAAAATCAAATGGTAATAAAACCAAATCCAGCACAGCACTGTCAACGCTTTTGGTTTTTTTCTTACAATTTTTTGGCTCCTTTTTTTAAAATTTAATTTAAATTTATATTCTAGTGTGACTATGGCATCACAGGTTAATAGTATCCATTCTGTTTAGATTTGTTCTCACCGTCAGATGCAGCGCCAGGATTTTAATACCTCCTTTTTTTTTTTTTGCAGGTTTCTCTGGATAACTGTGTGGAAGTGGGA